TAATAAATACATAAGTATATTAAATATTTGAACTCATATGTCCAACAAAACTAAGGTTGCTACACACAAACAAAAAGCATACAAATATATAAAGTACTCAAGTTTTACCTTCGTTTTGTGTATATATATATACATATATACATTGTATATATAGGCCTATATATATAATATATATTTTAATTTCATAAATTATGTTCCAAGAGGACACCTGGCATTGTCTTCTGTATTGGTTTATATTATATATGTTATATATATATATATATATATACATATATGTATATATAACATATATATAGGCCTTAAAACATATAATATAAAAAGATAGCCGTTAACACTGTTAAATTATATACAAATCATCAAAGAAAGGTGAATACAGTGTTACTGTTGTTATATATTAATTTTGTATTATTTTGAAATACTGTATGGTAATTATTATTATTTTTATTTTACGATGAATATGATACGGGTAAAACAATGGTGTGCTTATATTTATATTTCTGAACTAACAAAACTAAAATAAAATTCAATCGACACCGTCCAGAAATTCATTGTGCTTTTTTTTTTTTTAAATTCAGATAACATTTATTTCGATAATAATGACAAACTAATGCAATAACTATACATAACTAAACAAACTAACAAGAAACACAAAAAATGGAAAAACCTTATTATCTTGGGTTCAACTTCAGTTTTATAAAATGATATATAACTTTTGAGTTAATACAATGGTCATGCTATGAGATTACAAAACACTCATTTGAGTCATCGAAGTTTGTGTATTGACAAAAATTATAATAAACGTTCTTTTAACATTATAAAAAGTATTGAAAAGCCAGCCTAAAGTAGAACAAGCAGTTTTTAATTTATATCTAAATAATAAAATCGTGTTTTCCTGAAAAAAAAAAATTGAAAGTAGTAATTATAAAAAGAATGAACACAAAGAAATAAAAAATATTAAAGAAGCGTGTATACTGTAACTTGCTCTAAAGGATTGCTGAGATTATTTCAGTGTGAGTTCTTTAAAGCAAATTCAATATAGTGCCATAGGACCTTTTTAACGGCGCGTGGTCTGGAAAATTACTTGGGTGGATCCGGATAATACACGTATTTTTACTACGGAATAGGCCTACATAATTTAATTTATTCCTTAATGTAGGCCTATCTGAACGTGTCGTACTTCTCCAACATCCGAATTTTCGCTTTCTCTAACTCTAAATTCTCCGAGATTTCACTACCACATTTAATTTTCTTACCCGAATTTTCTACCATCAGTCCCATCCATACCTGCCCATGAAACTGCGGTGTTGGGCCTCCTATCATTCGATTCGATTTCTACCCCTCAATTTTGAAGTCCTTAGGAGGTCGGTTTTTAACCTACCAGAACACCCGAACTGCCTCTCGAGTTCTTGTGAGTTCTGTTAAAGATTAAATGGCTCCTTAAAGTTCCACCAACATGGCGAAGGTTATTTCATTATTAGGCTTCATCTTTGTTAATAAATGTTCTTCCAAATAATATTTTCTCAAGAGAATACACATTGGAGTAGAAAGAGCGACCCCGAACCTTGTAAGTATTTTGATGCTGTTTAAACAATTATCGGGTTGTAATATTAAATAATATGTTAATAAAAATGTATCTGAAGTACTCTCTCGTTCGATTGTATAAAAACTGATTTAGTCTAATTAAATGTTTCATCTGAAGTACTCTCTCGTTCGATTGTATAAAAACTGATTTAGTCTAATTAAATTTCATTCTTTGTCTTTGAAGTTGGTTGGCGGATATTGTTACTCTTTAAATAACATTTGTTTGTTACTTCGCGTCATTAAAAATGATGTGGGTACTATCATCTTTATCAGTCGACAATGTGTATATAGAAGCTGACCTATATTGTTATATTACCAATACATACCTTCATTACGCATTGTAAATTTATTTCCTACTAATCTAAAAGCATTCTACACCGAACCAGAATTTCTCTTTTGAACTCATCATTAGTAATCACATTGTTACTCCAGTCATTGGATAAAAAAAAAAACCATAGAAAATGTATAATCTTGTAGCTAGTTATCAGTGCATTGGAATTATAGTACTGCAGTAGCTACCAGCTACCTACTTTTAGACAACTGCAGTTGAATTTCCTTGCTCAAGGACACACACAAAAGTTTCTTCCGACTCGAGAGGCCGAAACGCAATCATTGTGCTAACCACTCATTGTTAAACTACAATGGAAAATGATGAATCCAAAATAAGTTTTTAAAAATAATGATATAATTTTGTTTTCACATATTTTGGATTAATGCTTTGTGGATTAGTAATTTGTCTTTATTGATTTAAATTTAATGATGGAAACACAATATTAAGCATGGATTTGAATAATGTGGTGGTTATGCTAATCATTATGCTTGTTTTTTGGTAATTTACCCTATATATTTACTGCTTCATTCTGACTGGTAAGAAACATAGTGCCAGGAATATACTGGACGAGTAAGTTATGGTGAAAAATGTTAATGACCTTTGACTCATACCATATTTGGTAGCAAGTATGATGATATTTGTTTGAATTATTCTGTCTTTGGCGTGGTCTTCCTCCGTGTTGGAGGTACCACCATCTGCAAAGCCACTGATTAAAAACACAATGTTGCAATGAACTTCTTTTAGTTTAGGTATCAACGAATCGAATGTATTCAAATGAGTTTGGTAATAATTATGACTATATCAATAATTGGCAAATTTTGTTTGTACTACCATCTGAGTTTGCCTCCTGAAAGTGTATTGAAAGATATTATGATGATTACACATTTCCTAAATAGAAAAAAAAGCATGGTTGATTATGATGTATTTTTCATAATGGTCATGTTCATTTGGCCGTATATCTTAGATGTTAATTGTTATATGGCCATATGTTGGTCACTGTAATGTATCTTTAATTGTCATATTATATGATCAATCATTGAAATGAAATATGACCATATGTTATAGATGATCTGTCATATATGACCAACCAGCATATGACCTTGCATTTTGTTTCTTCTCTAGTTTTATATGGCAAATTGGTAAAAATAGGCCTATGTTTTAGTTGATCGGTTGGTCACTAAAACATAACTATCATATTGTGGGCAATATTATAATGTAAAGTGGTATATCCAAAATAGAAAAAAAGCATGGTTGATTATGAAGTAATTTCCATGTGGTCATATGTTCATTTGGCCGTATATCTTAGTTGTTAATTGTCATATGGCCATATATTGGTCACTGTAATGTAGGTTTTTGTCATATTATATGATCACACATTCCTTCACCATATGTTATAAAAGATCTGTCATAATTTTATACCTCCTTGGTCATATATGACCAACCATCATATGGCCTTGTATTTTATTTCTTCTCTAGTTTTATATGGCAAATTGGTATACACAGGCCTATGTCTTAGTTGATCGGTTGGTCACTAAAACATAACTGTTATATTGTGGGCAATATTATAATGTGCAGTGGTGTGTCCATTATCCACTTGAAGATACAAATTATGCGTGTATCGATATTTTATATTACGGTTTTTATTTCTTTTATAAAATTTTGAATCAATGCCACTAATTAGGTACTAGGCCTATATCTTGTTTTAATTTCTCCAAAACTCATGCTGTTATAAAATACACCCATTAACTAATTTGTGCACGTCTACTTCTTTGTACCCTTTAACTGGAATATTCCCTTTACAATTTATATAGTGATGAAAAAAAAAACAACAATTAAGTGTAGCAATACGAGCTTTTCTATAAAGAAACTGCTGACTTTGATCTTATATGATGTTTAAGAATGAGTACTTTCGCATTATCCACCAGGCTTTCTTAGCTAGCGTTCAATTAGTATGTAATAATTCAGTGTTCTGTATGTGCAATTCTTTTAATGGTTGGCCGCTGCCATGGTGGTATTGGACAACCCTTTATAGGAAACAGTAAACGACAGTGCCCTGATTAGCAGCAGTAATATTGTCATCGTATGTATGGCTGCTTCTTTGAGGTGGTACAAAATAAGGCTTACCTGAGCAATAGAGAAATAAAATTGTTTGTGCTAAAATTGCCTTGTACTTTCTGTGTCTCTATGATTTATAATTTTTGGGAGATTAGTTGTGTCAGATATTATAAAGAGAGAGAGAGAGATATTATCAAAGAACATATGAATCTTCACAATGATGTATACATTCTAATACCTTTACTAAAAGATGTACTAAATGGTGTTTATGGTAAAAAATTGGAAATTTAAATTTTTAAAATTAAGCTGTCCGACAGGCATCCGAGGACCTTTAGACCGAGCCTGGAGGAAAATTTGGGTGAGGTACCCCCCCCCCCTTCCGTAATTGGGTTGTTTTTCTTTGTGACATGTCTATCTTGTCACTAAGAATTAAGTAACTTTTCATAATGGGAGAACCCAATTTGTTTACCTAATTTGTTAAATGAATATTCGCTTATCTGAAGTTCTCCATGGTAACAGGATTTTTGAGACTTTTATGGTTAGGGCAACCTTGCATCCTTTGTCATGTTACCAAGTTTCAGAGGAAACAGAAGTCAATATTATCACCTATCAATTCTTTTATACACTCATACATAATTACAACTGGGAGTTTTGTGGTTTTGTGGCATTGGTTTAATTCGATGTCTTACTTTGCGT